GTCTTTTGAGGTAATTCACCTTCAAATATGCCATTCTGATCATGCACCGATTTTATTGAAATTTGGGGAAAGCGAGGTGGAACAAAAAAAGAATTTTTTTTTTTCAGATTTGAGTCGCTTTGGTTGTCAAAAGAAGAGTGTGGCAAGGTGGTGACTGATGCGTGGCTCGTAGAGGCTGGAGGTCCGATTCATGAGAGGATTGCAAGGGTGGCGGAGGGTCTGTCTTCGTGGGCTGCCACTACATTTGGGGAGATTAAAAAGAAAATTAAGAAAGCAGAATCTCGGCTTCAAGAATTACAGGGGCAGCAATTGGATGCTCGTCGATTGAGTTTGTGTATCAAAATTGCTCAAGAACTCAGTGAACTCCGAAGGCTTGAAGAATCATATTGGCACGTACGATCAAGAGCAAATGAGTTGCGGGATGGTGATAAAAACACAAAGTATTCTCACCATAAAGCAAGTCAGAGGAAAAAGAAAAATACTTTTGCCGGCCTTTATGATCAGAACGGGGTATGGAAGTCGTCGAAGAATGATATGGATGGCATTATTGCAGGTTACTTTGGCGATTTATTTGCGTTAAGTAGGCTAACTGATTTTGAGGAGGCTTTATCTAGTATTGAGTATAAAATGACCATTGAAATGAATGATATACTTGATATGGAGCCGACGGAAGAGGAAATTAAGGATGCTTTGTTTCAAATGCACCCAAATAAAGCTCCTGGTCCAGATGGAATGTATGCCCTCTTCTTCCAGAAATTTTGGAGTATTATTGGTGGTGATGTTGTCAGATTTGTGCAATCTTGGTGGAAGGGTGAAATCGATCTTTCGGAGGTAAATCGTACTTGCATTGTTTTAATTTCGAAATGTGATGAACCTAAGCAGATGTCTGAATTTAGGCCTATCAATTTATGTAATGTGTTATATAAGATCATTTCGAAAACCCTTGCAAATAAATTGAAGCCTATGCTTGGTTCTCTTATTTCGGAAAATCATAGTGCTTTTGTCCCGAATCGACTAATTACGGACAATGCTCTAATTGCTTTCGGAATTTTTCATTCTATGAAAAGAAAGGGGGAAGGTAGAGAAGGCAATGTGGCTGTGAAGCTTGATATGAGCAAAGCATATGACAGAGTAGAATGAGTCTTTATTGAGAAAGTTATGTTACAGATGGGGTTCAAGTAGCTTGGATTAATAGAATTCTACAATGTCTATCGAGCGTCTCTTTCTCCTTCAAATACAATGGGATAATTTCTGGTGCTCTTATTCCATCTAGGGGACTCCGACAAGGGGACCCAATATCACCGTACTTGTTTCTTATATGTGCGGAGGCTTTCTCTACTCTGATTTCCAAGGCAGCATCAGGTAATTTGATACATGGAGTTAGTATTTGCAGGGGAGCACCTAGGGTGTCTCATCTTTTCTTTGCAGATGACAACATTTTATTTGCGAGGGCTAATTTGCATGAATGTTCTAAAATTGTTGATATAATCAGTATATACGAAAGAGCATCCGGTCAGAAAGTCAATCTAAGCAAAACCGAAGTAGCTTTCAGCAAATGTGTGAAGTCGGAGAGAAGAAAGGAAATTATTGAAACTCTTGGTGTTAGAAAAGTGGATAGACATGAGAAGTATTTGGGGTTGCCTACTCTTATCGGGAGATAAAAAAAAAAGCGGTCTTCACTTGTCTCAAAGAGAGTATTTGGAAGAAACTTCAAGGGTGGAAGGAGAAATTATTATCTCGGCCTGGTAAAGAGATATTAATTAAGGCGGTGGCACAAGCAATTCCTACTTAGATGATGAGTATTTTTAGGATTCCGGATTGTCTCATCGATGAAATTCACTCAACTCCGGCCCGATTTTGGTGGGGTTCGAATGGCTTGAATAGGAGGATTCATTGGCATAGATGGGAAGACTTCTGTCTTCCTAAATCAAAGGGTGGAATGGGATTTAGAGACCTAAAGTGCTTAAATTTGGCTCTCCTCGCTAGGCAAGGATGGAGGTTATGTGGGGATAATAATACAATGCTACAACAAATTCTCAAAGCAAAGTATTTTAAATATTCTGATTTTTGTGGTGCTTCAAGAGGATTTGATCCGAGCTATTCGTGGAGAAGTATTTGGGGGGCAAAATCTTTGCTCCTTGAGGGTTTAAAATGGAGAGTGGGTAATGGCTCCTCAATTAAGGTCTGGGAAGAGGAATGGTTAGGTGGGGATGCTCCAAGCTCTATTCTGACTATGCAATTGTACTGTGATATTGATTTGTTGGTGTGTGAACTCATCGATTTTGAGAACATGTGTTGGAATTCGGAGCTAATGACTGCCACTTTCTGTGAGGAGGACTGCCCTAGGGTGCTTGATATCTCTTTGCCGTGTGTATGGGTTGAGGATAGGAGGTATTGGTGGCCATCTAAGTCTGGGATTTTTTTTTGTGAAATCAGCTTATTGGTTGCGTAGATTGGGCAAGGTGAGTTCATGGGAATTGCTCCATGGTGAAAGTGAGAACCGAATTTGGCGCGAGGTTTGGGATTTAAAAGGTCCTCCAAAGCTGTGCCACTTCGTATGGAGGGCGTGTAAAGGGTCCCTTGGAGTGATGGAAATGCTGCATTTTCGTCATATTCATCCCTCAAGCAGAGCTTAATATGTGGCGCAGGTAGTGAGTCAATAATCCATGCTTTGTTTAGTTGCACGCATGCTGTGAGTATTTGGCAGCAGAGTAATTTTCTTGAACTGCTAAATGATGCTCCAATGTCTTCATTTCAAGATTTATTCTGCTGGGTATCGAGCAAATTAGACAAAGCACAATTGAAAGTGTTTTTGTGTCTTGCGTGGGTAGGGTGGTGTTGTAGAAACAAAGCAATATTTGGCGATGTAAATGATATTAATGGGGTTATGATTGCTGCAAACTTCGTCAAATTGTGAGAGGATTATTGTGTTTACAATGCTAGAGTTGGTGGGGGTGTGTCTGCTCCTATCTCTTTCTCTCGTGCACATTGGAGTCTGCCACTACCTTCCTTTGTTAAGGTAAATACTGATGCACATGTGCACAACCATGGAGGTTTTTGCTTGGGTGCAGTCGTGAGGGATGAATGGGGCACGATTTTGTTGGCTGCAACGAAAAAGACTTCCTGCAGATGGTCATCAGAGGTGGCGGAAGCTGTTGCCGGGTGCTATAGTGTTCAGATTGTTCGCAGACTTGGGTTTGCAAATGTGATCCTTGAAGGTGATTCGATGACTGTGGTTTGTGCTATTAGAGACAAGCAAGTGGGAGTAGCTCCAATTTTTCATTTCTTTGAGGATATTGGTAGAATGAGGAATGCGTTTACTAGTTTTGATTGTGTTCATGTTAGACGGGCGGGGAATACTGTAGCTCACTTTGTGGCTAGATGGGATACGGGTACTAGTGATGAATGTATTTATTCGGACTCTATCCCCCTAAGTTTTCAAACTTTGGCAGACCTTGATTTAATAAATTGATTCCCCTTGTTTTGTCTTCAAAAAAATAAATAAATAAATAAAACTAAATACCTGTTCAAGCTAAGTATTGTTTTTTTTTTTCTCTTTCCGCAACGTTTTTGTCAAACTATGCGATGTTCATTTGTCCCCCCATTTTATAATTTCTGGCTCCGCAACTATGAATGAGTAGGCACTATATTGTCTTACGAAGCTGCAAATAGAAATTGCCTCCTATACTAATTAAGCTGTAAGTATCAACCATTGAGTACTCAAAGTTGTACAACGTTGTTTTGTTTAGAATCATCACATTGTTTATGCAGACCTCATTTTGATGTTTATTTCAAGAAACCGGTCACATTATTGATCATAGAATCAACTAGCTTACTAGCTTTAGACTTGTTAAGCATGGATGTTATCACTTACCAGTTTCTTCACCAACTCAGATGGTATGAAAGCATTTTCTAGAAATGTGAAGTATTTTAGGTAGGCATGCCAAAGAGGTTAGTGAAGTTGGTTTTGTCTAACACAAAGTATTGGGTGTGGCCGTCAGTCGAGACTCAAGAAAGTATAAGCACCGTCATCTTCTTGCGATGAAGAACAAGTTTTCACCCGATAACAAGTCAATGGTGGTTACAGCAAATGAGAGCAACGAGGTCATCCATGGCGGAAGAGAGAGAAAGCTTGAGATTCTCGGATTTTTTTAAAAAATGCCCAAAAATCAAATTGGGACTTTTTTTTTTTTTTATAGGATGTATAATTGTTGAAATTGATTGTCTCATAAAATTGTATGTTGCATTGTGAGCATTTTGATAACATATGCATGTATTTTGGTTGGGAAATGAGCAAATTATGTTATGCTCATGACCTTAGTTCGAGCACTTCAATGGAGGTTCCACCATTGTTATACATATTATCAAACAAATTATACATATCTTCAAACAAGTTATACATATCCTCCATTGGTTAGATGATATCCTTTATTGTTTATATGATATCATGGTTGGATGATATCATCTATTAGTTATATGATATCATTTATGATTGTGTCTATAATATCCTTTATTTATTGGCTATATGATATCATGGTTGGATGATATTCTCTATTAGCTATATGATATCGTTTATGATTGTGTCTATGATATCTTTTTATTGGTTAGATGATACCCTCTAAGACAATAGATGATATCATCTAGCTAGTAAAATTATCATTCAGTTATCATCCAATTAATAAAGGATACCACACTACTAGAAAACCGCTTAATACCAACAGAATTTTTACGACGGACCTATTTGTGAAATTTCAATATAGTACACATACCTTGAACATTGTTGGATGTACATACTTCGTATTTCATTTCAACAATACCTGTTAATTCGTTTCATAATCAATACAAGTAACAAACAAATTCAAGTCTCAACTATACCCACCACCTACTCGGGTACATTACAACTATGGCAACAAATTAAAATTCTATTATTTAAGTCCAAATTAACAATGCCCATCATTATACCGAATTCATGTGTAAATGCGTAAAAATGCAATTAAAATGAAGAAATTCGACATAATCGCGAAATCAATTGTTTGAATAACCCTAAAATTCGAACTTCGACATAATAGTGAAATCAGCTGTTCCAAATTAACAATGTCCATCATTATACCGAATTCATGTGTAAATGCATAAAAATGCAATTAAAATGAACAAATTCGACATAATTGCGAAATCTATTGTTTGAATAACCCTAAAAATCGAACTTCAACACCAGCGAAATCAGCTGTTTGAATAAGCTTACCCGGAGGATGGACTCAACCCTTGGACTTTCCGGACGGACTGAAGCGGACTGAAGCCTTATACAAGCAGCGGATCAAAAAAGCAATTCAACAACAAACTTCAAACTAGTCGCAGAATTTTTCGTATACTCACTGAGTTAAGGTTTTGCGAAAACGAGTAACGACATAAGAATTTCGTTTGTTCACTGTCATTAACGGGCGTCAACAGGCCATTTGCTGAAAGTTACAAGTATACCCTTAAGATTTGTATGAAGAGACAGTTATACCTCCTGATATACATCAAATGTTTCTCAGCCTGATGAACAAGAATTTTTTCTCCCCAGAAGCTATCTATCTATCATCCCCACAAAATCTATCACCTTCTCCCAAACGGAGAAAACACAATAGACATTAGACAATTGCTGCTTTTTCAACAAATCAAAGTATAGCTCGGTTGAATCTGAAGGTACACGTTGATTTTTCTATTGTTGATTAATTAATTAGCTTTTAAAGGGTTACAGATATTAAGTAGAATTTGAACCCATTCGTTGCATAAATTTTTGATTGATAATATTGTTTGTGTAATATTAGTTTTTAGGGTTTGACTTTGATAATGTTGTTTGTATAAATTTTTTAGGAAATTGAAGGAAGGATGTCTAAGTTGTTTAATAAAATTGGAAAAGAATTTTGTTATCCTTGTGTTCCAGCGAGTTGGGTTTCTAGGACGGTAGAATTTGTAAAGCGATTTCAAGATCACCGCCCAACACACCAAATATTATATCCTTGTCATGAGTGTCGGTGGCTGGCCCCTACACTTGAAACTGCGCCAAAAGATTCCTCTTATTGGAGACAGAGACGACATGAACATGATGAGGGTGTCAAGGATGGGTTTTTGTGGCGTATGAACAGCATTAGTGAAATACGCAATTTTTTTTCATCTGACCTTGTAATTTATGAAAATAAACGCCCCCCTTTAACAAAGGTACGACCTTTGATGTTATCTCGTCGTTGTACAACGACGGGGGTTACTTGGTTCGACAAGGTGGCCGTAATAAAGTTGAAGTTGAGAGTCTTAGAGGAAAGGACATCTTGGTTTGTTGCTTTTTTGTGCCTGTGTTTTGGTTAGAACCTACTTGCAACAGTATTCGGGGGATAATCACTGCCTTTTCTAAGCTACCCAATCTGGAGGTGGTCGTGGTGGCTAAAATGAGGCCTAATTTTGCCGATGATGAGGACAATTTTAACCACTTCTTTTCGGGTTTTCCTTCCTCCTGGCTTGCAGTCCCTTTCTCTGACACGCTACGTCGTGAGAGAGTATGCAAGTCCCTTGGCCTTAGACCACTCTCACTCATGGTCAAAAAAATAAAATGTCATTCTCTTTCTACCCACTTTCTCACTTCTCTTTTCCACTTTTTTCCATGCGCGATTTTTTTATACAAGTCCTCACACACTCATGGGCTAAAATAAACCCACAAGAAAAGTAAAATTTTTAATAATAACGAATTAAGTAGAAAAATGTGATTTTTCGAAGTGCACAAAAATATAACAACATGGGTGTCTACTTATAGATAAAAATAAATTATGAACATTGATAATTTTTATTTTTGTTTTTAAATACGTTAAATTGGTCAAAATATCTATTTTTAGATTTAATTAGTGGGCTACACAAGTTACTGTAGCATTACAAAAATGCCATAACCTTGGGCATTTTTTATTTTCCTCGTGTGCATTTATTTTTTTTGCCAATGAGTGGGATACATGTTTTCGGTTTTTTACCTTGAATTTCTCCTCATGGGCGTATTTTTGACCATGAGTGAGTGTGCTCTTATGCATTTCCCAAAGGCTCTCCTTGTAGACCGCCATCAAACAGTTGTTTTGCACGAATCTATGAGTGATAATGGATTATCTTATCCCCCCTTTATCTTCCTAATGATGAATTCCTTTGGTGGAAAATTCACACCCACCTCCATTCAATTTTAGACTCTGAATTTGTTTTCAAGATAAAGAATAATAATAATAATTCTGCAACAGTGTTTATAAATCATGAGAATAAGGTCTCAGTTTATGAACTCAAAGATAAGCTTGTGGGGTTGTACTTGTGCAGTTGTGCTTTGATGGCACCTTGATTCGGACGCTCGACTTGGTTTCTCAAGAATATATGGCTCGAAACCAGGACTTTCATATCGTCATGGTCTATTTACCTTACAGAAACAGTGTGGACCCACTATTGTTCCAGGAGGCTGTCAATCATGTCTTACGTGAGCTCGAGATACCTCCTAATCCTAATTGGTGGGTTTCGTTCAATGACTTTGTAAGCCGCAAGCTCTGGAAAGTTGGTGTGGATCTTTGCTATTCCAATGATGAAGATCAAGTGGTCATTTTGGACCCCAAAATGAACGTTGCGGATTACTTGGGGAAATATGTGATTAATCGGTTGGGTATCAATGGATATCCCTTCACCAGGCACTTCCTTGTCCAGAGAGAACTGGAGGCGATAAGGGCAGTCACCTTAGAGTCTTTGCTGGTTTATGGGTCACGGGATTATGTTCTTCGCATGAATATGACTAATGATGTTGATCAAGTGCCTATAGCAGAACTCGGGGGAAAGAATGTTCTTCTTTACATTGACCAACTGGAAACGCCGTCAAACACTTGTCATACATTGCTTGACTGGTATGATCGGACTAAGAAGACAGCAAAGGCTGTTGATTGTGAAGTGGTATTTGTTCACTTTGATGGCAAAGAAGCTACTAGTACACCTTTTGGTAGTGCAAAGCCAATAATGCCAATACAAATGCCTATGCCATGGTTGGTGTGCCCCTTTGACCCCCAACACATTGTTTTTGTGAAAGAAGTGATTTTCAAGGCCCATCCAAATGTGGGTGGTATTCTTGCAGCATTTGATAAAGATGGCCATATCATCACATTATATGCTAAAGATCTTCTAGACTCATTTGGACCAGAGGGTTTCCCATCGTACGATGGCTTGCACAACGAGATGGTTCACCATATTGGGCTTCATTATGATTTAAACATGGATGATTTGTTTGATGTGGCCCTCTGAAATCCAATCCATCACTATTAACCTGCGATAGTAGAGAGTCTCTCCTTTTCACATAATAAAAATGCATGCATTTTGTCATGAATGTCACTATCTCTTCCCTTAAACTATCTTTCTTTCCACTTAATATCTATATACTATTTAATTTCTCACTTTTTAAGTTCCTTCAGTGTTTACCTTTAATTTTTTCTTCTCTTCCAGTATAATAAGGTATTATATAGTGGGCAGTGTTTTATTATCTTTCTTATTCTTTTTTCTTTTATCTTTGTGGTGCTTTGTAATCTTATTGATTATTGATTACTTTAATACAAATTTTGTCACTTTACGAGTAATGCAGGGAAAAGCATATATATATTAGGTTCATATGAAAACTCTTTTTATATAAGAACCATGAGTACTCCTCAAATTTAGAACATGCGTTTTATTTTTTAGAACATGAAAACTTGCACATATATGGATGTTCTTAAATATCAAGGTCGTGTTCTAAAACATCAAGGTTATGTTCTTTATTTTTAAGGTTATGTTCTGATTTTTTGTGTTCTGAATTATGAAGGTTATGATGTTCTACACACGATAATTTAAAACATCACCTTGAAATTTTAGAACATGTATATTTGTTTAGGTTTCTATGCTCTAAAATGTGTACCTGTGTGTTCTAAAAGGTATTGCATATGTTCTAAATTTGAGGAGTTCTTATGGTTCTCATGTAATGAGAGTTCTCATGGGATCCTCACCATACATATATATATATATATAAACACTCGATAACATTCAATGACGTAAACTTCCCTTGACTTGCTGATGTGAATTTATACAAAACATTGGATGAGCTTATAAACTGTACTAACTGTACTACAACTTAAAAACAATGCTCTGTTTGACTACGTATGACTGATTTGGAAAATTTTACACTCCACTTAGCTTGAATAAAAGGTAGAATTTTGAACTCGTTCGGACAAAACGCAAAATTTCGGCACAGCTAGTCTATTACCAACACTGTTATAACATGGCATGATCGATTATGTTGCTTCCTTGTCTTGTTGCTTTATCCCATGAAATCATCATATATAATTACTTGTAATGTTAGATTAGTCATGTCTTACACCCATTAGCTTCCTTTCTAAATTAAATAGATAGAAAAGGGAACTTACAAAATTGGTTTCCTTTAAATCTTCAATTAAATCATAGTGTTTTCGCTGCTAATGCTTTGTCAAGTAAAAAATGGTTGTAAATTGATGTGATTTTTAATTTTGATCAGCGCATTTGCTAAATGGTACTACTATGATAGATGTCAAATGGATGGATTTTAAGGTAGAAATTTATTTTGTAGTTGTTTGGGATCTTAATAATCTGTCCGCAATTGATAGTCACTATTTGGGGCTTGCTGGTGACTGTAAGCCTCATATATTGGTTGAATTAAAATCACTTGTTCTCTTATATGGTTGCTAAAGTTGTCTTTTTCAGCTTGATGTTAATTATAATACTTCCTCCGTTTTTTTTAGTTATGTCACATTTATCAAATGGCCCTCACATTTTGTTGAGGTTTCACAACTAAAATAACCAGAGGAAGTATATTATTGATGGACCATTCACAATTTCACATTGCAGGATATTTCGTGACTTGCATAAGAGACCTTAGTCAGATGAAGGTACCTGTCATGTCATCAAAATAATTCACAGATGAAAGGAACGCTGTGAGCAAGCAAGTCCTTTTCACATCTTGTAACCTTCTGTGGAGTTGTCTTGAAATGCATATTAATGATCATCAGGTAAGTGAGGTTATCAAGTATGTAACAAACAGCAGTGCTGATAGGCTATCTGGAGGCTTATTTTCATAGAATTACAATGCTTTGATTTCTATATAAAATATTTTGTGCTGCATGTTTTCAGCTTCTGTCTTTTCATATTCTTATGTAATCTTTAACTCTTTCCTTTCTCCTTTATATTTTCTCAGCTTAATGGAAGTTTTTAGTTGTCTTCAACTTTCAATGAATGCCTTTTCTATTTCCCTACTTCTATCTTTTTCTTGGGACTATGTGCAAACCCTTGTCTTAAAATCTACGGAGTAATTCTTGAACACCTTATAATTCTCTTAGTCTTAAACATAAACTATAATTGACATTACAGCCTCATGGTTTAATATAACTTGCAAAGATTTAATGCTTTTTTGGTTTGGTTAGTGGTTTTATCTCTTACATTCTCACCATTTCAAGCTTTTTTTTATAAATATTTAATTTGAAATGTTTCTTCCTTTCTAGTGTACCTCTTTTGAATCCATGCTGGCTAGAATGACTTCCTATGAGATTTTTTTTTATATGTTTTTTTCCAGCCCGAAGATGTTGGAATTTGGAAATAATAGAAGAGGTAATATTATGATGTCCCCTCCAAAAAAAAAAAGAAAAAAAAAAGGAAAAAGAAAATGTAATACTCCCTCCGTTGCTCTAAGTTCTACCCGCTTTGACTTTTCACATATGCCAATGCACATGTTTAACTCGAAATATCTTTAGTTTCAGTTTAGTAAAAATTATATATTCTTATAGTACTCATCAAGACGTATTAAACAATACCTCATATGACTGTATATCTACTTATATATTAGACGAATTATAGAAGATTCTCTTAAATTGTGAACAGTGTAAAGATTCCAAACATATACAACTTAAAGAAACGGAACTATTATGATGTAATGGCGTTGAGGACATCTAGTAAGGTACAAGATTGTCAATATCTGCTATATTGTGTCCAAATTAGTAGCATTGTGTACTTGTAAAATATGTGGATGCAACTCAATCGTAGGTCAGAATCGTGCATTATAATGATAGGTTTGTTTTACTACAACGTTCAAAATCTGCGAATAGAACTTGATGTCCTCTTTAAGTCTGTAAGTTAGCAGAGTGTGTTGCAGGCTTGCAGCTACGCAATACTTGATTAAAAGATATTGGAAGAAAACCTTTGCTGGATATTCTCAAAGCAAAGCACGAAAGACCTCTAACCATACATGAAGAATGGCCAAACAAGCATATATCAAGACATTAATTTCTTGTTTCACCCATAGCTGACGTAGTTGGTTCGTTGGTGCATTAAAAAAGATGGTATACTGTATCCTTACAATCTACAATAGTCTAGGCTGCAGGAACACAACCAGTCATGTAGCAACACAGAAATAGGTGTTTCTAATTTCTTCGCTCTGAAAGTACAAAATTCACGTCAGGTTACTTCCTCATTGATATTGACAGTTATGTATACTGTATAGTGGTGTCAGCAACAATGAAGATAGTGGAATATGGGTAAGGTCATGCTTGAGGAGTAGTGTGTATGCAGTAGCGAATGTGTGACTGCAAACAATTGGAGCAGGGGATGAAAATCTGTATCTTTCTTGTGTTTCATGCCAGAATTGTATTTGCTACATTAGATATTCTGTTTCATGAGAACAATTGGGAAATAGTAATGCAGCATTTAGATCATTATACAAATATACATAGCTGCATTTCAGATATAGTAATACAAGAGTACTTATCCCTTGATATGAAGGGGTTAAGGTAATGTGAACATCTCCTGACACAATCATATTGGATGTGCTCACAAGTCTAGTTTAGTTGCTATGTGACATCTTATTGCTGTGTCATAGCCATTAGCCAATAGAGAAAATGCTCTCTGTGGCTTTAGAAAAACTCCTATCTATAAGATGATAGTTTGTTAGCTTCTTAATGCTGCTTTTTAATCAGAATAGAATCCTCTTATCTGGAACTCTTTTGTTACTTTTATTGGTCTCTCTTTGTGGTTATTTGTCTTTTTGTGGGGACACTTGCCTGTGTAGTGTAGAAGTTGATACTTATAATATATTCCAATTTTGAAAGCAAGGATGCAATATACATGTTGTGCTTGGACTAGAAAGGAATTTGTTAGAATTTTTTAACAAGGAGCTGCTATCTGAAGCAGTTAGATCTAATGTTCTGCACATTCTTAAAGTCATTGAGTGCAGCATTTGGTCTTCATTCATATGATCAGGTAATAACAATCCTAGTATCTCTCCAATTATTCAACAAACATATAATTTTATTATCCTTTCAGCTGAAATTTTCCTTAATTAACCATTTCTTGTCCTATTCCCTTTCTCCATTTTTAGTGTATAAATTACAGGTTGTTCAGATTCAGGCTTTATGAAATTGATGAACCTATGGACAAGGTCAACATAGTTTTGGAGCGTGTGATTCACATAATGTTTAATTCTTTGATTATCTTTCTGTTCGTTGTGACACTTTGATTGTTTCCCTTATAGTGTTGCATGTGATCATTTGCTTGTGGCGGTAGACCTTGAAGGTTTTTAGTATTTATAATTATATGTTTGCGATGTAATTTTGTTTGAGAGATTGCAAATTAGCTTTTTATTAGCATATCAAGAGAAAGTAGCAGCCATATAGTTTATAAGGGAGGTGGTAGGTTGAGTGGTGTAGCTTCTTCATTGGAAAATAATGTTTTTACCTCATACAAATTTGTAGGGATGTTAAAAAGAATCCGATCTGGCCAATCCGATCTTTTAGTTTTTGAATATTTCGGATCAGATTTTTTGGATTTTCGGATATTCGAAATATCCAATTTTTTGATTGAATAGTATAAAGACATGGAAAAGTTTGATTTGTTGCGTTTTATAGAAGTATATGATATATAATTGAAGGTAGTCTTATCTTATTGTTTTCTTGAATAGGAGGAAATTACTTAGTATAAACTGTTTAGACTTACTGGTCAATAATTGATTCATTAGGTGATTTGGGCTTCTTTGGTGAATAGTTCTTGCTCTCATATTGATTTGATTTGATAAGGATATATAGGAGAAAGAGGGACAACTGAGTTGTTGGTGAGGAAAGTTGCAACGAGAGAAAGACATGGCAGAATATGGAAAACGGCAGAATGCTTTCCCACTTGTACTTTTGTTTCTTAAATTGTTCACTCTATGTCAATCACTGGATTTTATAGAACTATACTCCATAGAAGACTACTTTATAATGATGTTATTAACGTTTATTCTTGGAAAGTTATAATGGTGTCATTATATTATTATTAATTTTGATTATAACTTATTA